GGGAGGGAGGGGGATGCAGGGAAGGAAGAAAGGAGGGAGAAAGACAAGGGAGGAAAGAAGGGAGGGGAGGGGAGGGAGGGGGAAATATTTCAGCACTTGGCACTAACTTTCAGAGAAGCATCCCTACAGCACACCTGTTGGAGGCGGTGGGCTGCGTGCGGCTGCCCTCTCAGCCGGCCAGCTCCAGGGAGACGGGCTGGCACAGCCGCGCCTGGCTCTGCGCTGGGCGGTGCTCAAGGACAAGCCCCGTGTGCACCTGCGGCCCAGCTGCGCACAACACTCCAGACCGCAGGCTGGCTGCTGTGCACCGAGAACTGCAGTCTGGGTCACGGCGTGCCTGTAACAGGAGCCCTGCCTCTGCAGGGCAGCTCGGGAACTGCTCAGTTACGCAGTCCTGCTTTCCTCAAAAGACGTGATGGAGTCTGGGAGCCCCCCGCTTCCTTTTGAACTTCATATACACCAACTACATGGAATTATAGTGATAGTACACATTTTCTTAAGCACTCTCTCTTTCACCCCATCAAATACGTGGACTGTGTTCTCATTTCTTATGTTGTGTTCTACAAAGCCTAACCTAAATATCTAGGTAAAAGCAAATCAATAAAACTAGTTTTGAGGGCTGCAGTTGCTTGAAAAGGCTGCAGAAATTGAGGCATTTCAGAGCACTTTTCACTGCCAGGCTCGGTCCTTCTCTGGGAGTTCTGGTCTATGGCATGCAGTTTGATTCAAGGCCCAGTAAGGTGGAAGGGCAGGCCATGGCTGTGCACTGAAAAAAAGGGTGAATGAAGGTACAATTCAAAATGAAACGCACTGACATTGGTGTGCACCCTAGGCAGGACTGGGGATCAGACCTAGAGCCACGCACACGCCCCAGGAACTCGGCGAGCTGCACCCCTTCCATGGAGCTGAGCTACACAGGAGAACAGGGCCCTTCCCATTCCACTGGAGAAAGGAGGCAAACTATTCTAGGCCCTTGTCTTTGCTGAAAGTTAATAGATACTAACTAAAATCATTATTCAAAAGGCTTTTGGAGACTAACATACTGTGATGACAAGTGTAGTTTATGCAGAACATGTTGATTGTAATCTGAAAAGTTAATTATTAAGTAAAAACTTAGAGCCTGCCGATTGCCAGTGGGGCTAAGCAGCAGTCAAATGAAACGGACTGTCTTCGTTTTCTTTTTTCAAGGCGGGGAATTGCACTGAAGGCCTGGCCTGTGCTGGCGAAGGCTCCACCACTGCTGCACCGCAGCCTGCAGCTCTGCTCCTTCACGCTGCTGGACCGGTCCCTTCCACTTTCTGTGGCCCCTCGCTCCACGTCTCATAAGTTTTAGAATCTACATAAGGGAACAGTTGAAGGTCATACACCTCCTAGTTCTCAACAAAGAGAGTGTGTCCAAAAAGGCCGTGTGGCTTTTCAAAGAGAAAATGACTTAGCTCCACCTTGGAGATCTGGCTCGAGGGCTGGCAGGGGGAAGTGCCCCAGGAGATGTGCACACCTCCAGGAGCACAGCGGCAGCCGCAGCAGTCAGCGTGGGGTGGGCGGGAGGGCTGCGCGGGGCCAGCTAAGAGGAAGACGCTGCTCACGGTGCAGGCTTCACGCGGGACCACACTTCTGGGCCCGAGGTCGCCCCCCACCCCCGCCCGCACCTCAGAGCACTGTGTGTGACGTCATGGCACATACAGCTACGTCAGGGTGCCACTGCACCTCGAATGTCCCCCGGTGCCCATAGAAACCAAAAGCAAGCCTGCTACGCAGCTCTGCACTGGAGATTAAAGAAGCAGAGGTGAATGAGCAATGGCAGTAGCGACGCGTTTCTTCCATTCCATGAGTGACTCTATGCTGCCATACACTGTCCTAAAAACTGCCATGTTTATTTACGACAACCAAATCACGGGAAAGACTCCGTTGTTCAGAACCAGGCTCATCAATTTTATGCCTCCTGTCATAGTTTCATGAAAGGAAAATCAAAACACAGCAACAACCGGAAAAAGCAAACACTGAAACTTAACTGAAAAGAACGCTGACTTAAAATTGGCCTTAAAAAGCACATTATACTAAAAAACTTCGAGATAAAGACAAAAATTCATTTGGTTATGTCAAAACCTGCAGAAAGGTTCAATTTTGGGTTGTAGTTTTTTCAAGATAATAAAATAATTGTCTCTGGTACTTCTTTCTTTCTTTTTTTTTTTTGGTCTGATAATGTTCACAGGAAGTGGTGACTTTTTATAGGGGAAACAAAATCAAAACCAGACACAGTCTCTGAGTTCTACAAGTTTCAACTTTTTTCACATAAATTATTAAAGAAAATGGACAATACGGAGCTAGGGTTTTCAAAGGTGCTTCAATATAAAGCTGAGTCTAGGAGGGTCCCCTCCAGCCGCTGAGACAGTAAGCGCGTGAGACACTGGAAGAAATACTTCGCTCCAAATCTCTAATTTCTCATGGACTCTTCTCCTCGTAATGTGAAGATGTTGAAATGTAGTTCAAAATGTGCTCCTGATTTCTGCGCAGCAACCAGGAGCTCCCAGAGGACGAGGGCTTCCGCCGAAGGGCCTGCGTCACAGCGGTGGCGAGGGCGCTCGCGGCCCGCACACGCGCGGCACCCCGGCTCCTGCGGGCGCCTCCTCCTCCAGCGCCGGCCGTGCAGGCGTGCGAGCGAAGGCCCGCTGGGCGAGCGCGCACGGCCCTCCAGGCCCGCGGAAAACCGCCCCATCGCTCTCAGGAAGCACGCTTACAAACTCGGTTTTGCCCAGTCTTCTGGTAAGGAAGGGCAAGAGGAAACAAAACAAAGATGGGAGGCTTGCACAGGCTTAACGCTGACCCCGAGAGCCACGTAAAGCACAAGGCTTGCCGCCGGAGCGAGGCTTGGGAGTAAGCCTGCCCAGCGAGAACTCACGCTTGTATTCCTGTGTTGGTAACTAAGAGTCCCGGAAATCTGGAGGGGCAAGACGCAACCCCAGAGCAGCCAGCAGGAAAGGACGAAGGCAGGGAGAAGCCCACAGGATGCAGCCTCTGGCTCGCCAGCAGCAGTCTGCGGAGGCCTGCAGGACGAGGGCGGGACGGCGGGCGCCGTGGGCCAGGACGCAGGCGGCCGCGGGAGGGCTGCTGAGAGCAGGCGCTGCAGGCCGCGGTCATTCTCGGTGGAGGCGCCCTTTGTCTTTATGGGAAGAGAAGCTGCGGAGGGAACAGCTCGCTTTTCCTTGTGCTCCGTGAAAGCTAGCTAAGCTGCAGCACACCATGAGCCTTCTTAATTAAGAGCAAAGAATTTGCTGTCATTTTTCTCCACACTGCTTCAGAATTCTGGAGCTAATCTCATTTTCTGACCGTGAAGAATTGACACTGAGGGGATAAGTTCTGCAAGTCTAAATAAAGCCTGATGGTCTTTCTTACACAAAACAGAAGAGAGGACAGACGCACAAAACTATGATTAAAGGATAATTCTATTCTTGTTCCCATAACGACAAAAGAATTGCTTCTGAGTGGATATACCGGCTAACTCCGCAGACGGGCACGGTGGGCTCCGTACCTAACGAGCCCGTATGGCCCACTTGCACGCCGGGCCAGCCGGGGCAGCAGGTGTTTACAGTTAATGACTCACCACGCAGGAAAATCACAGCGATGACAATGCCATACTCAACTCTGTGTTATCCTCCACGTTAATAATCATGATTTCAGACTTGGCTGAACCTACATCTGCCGTCTGGTTCTTGGGTGACTTCTCCACATCTCATTTTAGTGATGAAAATAATAGGGAATTAAAGTGTCTTGCAAAATAGCACTCTTGGCAGAAATAAGTAGAAATTTTATGTTTTGATTTTTTTATTTAGGATAATATTAATAACTACTGTTTCTGAAAACTCAGCATGCCAAGGTATTTTTCTGCACTGTCTCTGATCTCTGTGACGTTCCTGCAGTATGTGTGGGCACTGCTACCATCTAGGGAGATGCCTGCGGGGGGTGGGGGAGGTAGGGTCACCACCACCCTCGGCAGAGTGAGGACTCAACCCACTAATAAAGGAGTACTTCAGGGTCCTCTTCTACAACACAGGCAGCTTTCCCCAGGATGTTATAGAATCACATAGGCAGACGGAAGTCCTAGAGTCTGACCTAAGACCCAGTTCTCCATGCCCATCCTGAAAAACGAGGGTCTGCCTCAGGCTGGGTTCTTCACGCCGAGGGCAGAGCGGGCTTGCACTTAACATTCGAGAGCTTGTTCACATGGAGTTCCAGTGTGCCTCTCAGAATGTCCTGTGCGACCCCTGGTCTTCCCCTGATGTAGAGTCACAGTGGTGCTGAGTGATTCAGTGAGACCAGGGCTTCCTACGAGGGGCTGGGGCTAGCCGTGCTAGACAGAGACCCTGGTTGAGCATCAGGTTCTAGTGCTGGGCCCTTCTCTGCAGCTCACTGAAACAGCTCCCAGACAGGTGTCTGCTTGTTCCTTGTTTCTCCAGGTTAAACAGCCCTCACTGTTCCCCAGCTGGACATGACTTCCAAATTCCTTACATCTCACTGGCAATTTCTAGAGTAGTCCACTGTTTGAAACCTCTAGGAAGCGGATTTTAAATGTAAGCACATAGTGGCAGATACCGAAGAATCCTGCATTTTTATGACCTAAAAATTACTACAAATGTAGACTGCAGGTTTTTTTTTTTCCTGGCAAATAACACAAAATGAGCTTATAGCCAAATCAATCTCCCATTTATCAAATTTATCAATCTCTCCATTTATCAAATTTATCAAGTTCTTAAGCTACTTTAGCACCTTCTCCCTGCATTCTTATGACTAATTTTTTATATTTTTGAGCTAGTGTAAGATTTTACAGTTTTCTCTGTGGAATTCTGTCTTTCAGGCTTCGGCCTCCTTTTTTCTCCAGTTCGTGGTTCATTAAACACTCCAGGACTCCAGCTGGGTCCAACTCCAAACTGTGAACCTGCATTCAGAGCGCTCAGCCCAGTGCATCTAAAGGGCAAGGCAGACAGCGTGCCACAGGAGACGCTGGAGGGACTGAAACTCTTCTTGGCTCTGGTTCCCCATCTGTGAGCCTACAAGTGTGACAACTGTGGTGTCACAGCCGCGGCACCTCCTTGCTTACAAGATCAAGCACTACACCACTTATTTTCTTTTTGTCGTTGAAGGGAGGAATTTGACAAAAAATTTAATAGGGATTATCCCGTAGCACTGCATGTAAAGTAAAATTACTGCCTAGCTGAGGGTCTTTGACCACTGCCGCCTCACAAGTGCTGTGGTGAGGCTGCACTGCGCTACAGAGGAATTCAACCCAGGGCGCCCCCCTGCTGCAAAGCTGATCTGCCTCGGTCTCCTCTCGAGTGGGGACAGCAGTAGTCACCAGGTCTGACCTGAAAGCTAGGTAAGAGCTGCCATGCAGGCCTGACACACGTCCAGCACTCAGGTCAGCGTGGTGGCGGGGTGACGCCAGGGGCCCTTCTCGTCATGTCACCCTCCAGCACTCGTTCCCCGTAGGCTGTGGACTGCACCTCTGGTCAGCTTCTCCACATGGCAGACACCACGGTGACATTTCCACGGCTAATGCAACTGAGATGGCCTGGACGTGAGGCGGGAGCCGGCTGCCTCTGCGCAGGCTGCCAACAGAGCCAGCAGCCTCGGGAAGCCCTCGTAGCTTGAGAGAGGGTCCTGTGGTGAGATCCCCTTTCGACCTGCCCCCCTTGTGAAGCCGTAGCTCCTGCCCAGCCCATGGTGATCTGCGGCCCACACAGCACCCTGCGTGCACACGAGTCCCCTGGGATCCCTGTCCCAGCTTCCCCACCCTCCTTCAACCAGGGCACAAATCCAGGCAATACACAATGGTTCATCAAATAATTACAGTGACGTGGTTTTCCTCTTGATGCACACATGGAAATCATTTCCCAAAAATGATTTATGAGCTTTTTATGTCTAATGAAAATAATGTCCTTAATGTAAACACCATTTTATTCTTCAAATAACTCGAATACATCTAAAAATGCAAAATTTATCATCTACAGTGAAGATAACCTCGAGATAAAACATCAAAAGCCACTGTAAATTCTTCCGTCTTACCATTTTATACTCCTTCCAGCCTCTCTGGAAATCTAGGCTCCCATCTTCACGGTGCTGAATCACAGTCCAGCCGCCCCCGCTCACATCCATATTGCAAAATACCTGACAAAGGCAGAAGGAGGCACGTGACAACCACTCCTGCTTGAGGGAAGCACCTGCTGACTTGTTTCAAAGCAGACCGGGCCTGGGGGGTGGGCAGGAGAGGTGAACGGCCACGCACGCCGAAAATGCTCTCAGCTCGTTGTTGGCTATTTTTTCCCTTAATTCATGTTTGAGCTGCTGCTGAATAAAGTATACCAACAGTGCTTTAGTGACTTACAACTTCAGATCAGTCAGCTGAAAATTAATAGTCTCAGACTCAGGCTATAAAGCAATTTAAAAAATATGGTCCTCTTAAACAGAAACAGATACTTGGGTAAGTTTAAATTTTAAAATAAGTACTAATGTTTCCAAAATTACACATCATTTTACAGCCAAAACATAAGACTCAAAATTTTTAAGCCTTCTATTAAAATGGTAATGTCATAAGAATAATGGTTTTGGGAAAATAATTTAAAAATTATACAGATTTCCCTATTTCCGATTTTATTGCTTAACTCCTATATACTTACGTATTATAATAATCACTCTTGATTGCTCAGTGTTGCGTTAGAGGGAAAACTTGGCCCTTGGCATACAGCGAAGAACAAGAAAGAACGCGTTGCTTATTTAACTTTTAGTCAAAAACAATAAGAGGAGAACGAGATACACTGTATTCCTTCTGAGTGTGACAGCATTTCCTTCTCATGTGGAAAAGTAATAGAAATCTCTCAGACTCTTACCATTTCAGTTATTCCAAATGCGACAGTATCTATTTAAAATTTGCTGCATTTTCCTTGCAAGTCCACTCAGCCCGCAAACCGCTCTGCACCAAGAGGGCCCCTGGAGCACCCCCGAGGCTAAGGAGCTGGCCCTGCGGTGGGTTACTCCAGGGCTGGAGGGCCGGATGCCTCCCGGGGGCCAGGGTGTGGGGAGGGGCCGCAGCCAGCAGGCAGCGGGGCACAGTCTGACTGCAGCGCACCTCAGCAGTGCTCACCAGGGCCTGGGCCTGGAAGGTCAGTGGCCAAGGGGTAGGCGAGCATGCTGGGAGCTACCATTCCCAGGACATGTCTGTGAGCCGAAGGGCGGAGATGGCACCTTTCACAGAGAGATGGCCTGCTGCCCCAGGGTCTCCCTGTGCACTGGCCAGAGCCCCCCACCCTGGGGGCTCGGGGCTCCAAGACTGGAAATGCTGGGTTCCCTCGCTCACCACCCCCCTGCAACCCTTAACCCTTCTCCTCCGATGTTTGTCCTTGATATGACCCCTGGCAGGCTCTCATCCTGCTTCTTTCTACTTTGGTCCCTCAGTGGCTCTCTTCAGAAAGCATTCTGGGGCACTGACTGTTTCATGTTGGAGGCTGTTATAATCCAGGAGACGTGGATCATGTCCTCAAAATGCCTCCAGGTTTCAGTGCTGAATGCTCCATGGTATATGGGCACTGGGGATATGGGGCACCGCTCCAGGGTTAGGGAGCCACTGCAGCTCACAGGTGTCACCTCCACTGAGCTGGAGAACAGGGACAGCCACCTGAGGGGTTTAAGGAGAGAGCTAACATGAGGCAAGGATGTGCCCGTCTCCAGGTGCTTAGTGCTTGCAGGGCTAGAGCTCCCAGGAGGGGCTCACGGAGCAATCGGAGCTGATGTGCTGGGCATCGGTGGACCCCAGAAGCCAATGTGGGGAAGAAGGTAAGAACAGGAAAGGCCACTCGGACCCAATGAAGTGCATGTTCAGTGCCAAGAAATGCTTTACATGCATTTTCTAACTTACTCTCATAGCTTCCTAAAGAAAATGTTCTTGAGCCTAGGTGTGGTGGTGGGCACCTGTAATCACACCGGGGAGAGGCTGAAAACCAGGAAGGGTCGCTACAAGTCCGATCTGCGTCGTGAGACCCTGTAGGCCCTGTACTAAGCATACATAAAAAGGATTAAAAATGTTCTTATTATTTCCATTTTTAAAGATAAAAAACTGAGGCTTAGAGAACTTCAGCAACTTACAGATGGATAGACTTAACAATTAGTACTGCATCAGGAATTTGGATGGAGCTCAGGATTTGAAAACTATGTTTACCTAACTCCAAATCACTGGGAGAAATCTGCTTGGAAGATGCAGGGCTGCACTGCAGCCGTCGGTCCTCTAAAGAAGCAAAGGAAGGAGGGTCCGGAGGGGGCGGCGTCTGGGGGGGACTCTGGGGACACCCGCGGGAGCCGAGCACACCAGCCACCCCACACGGGCAGCTCTCGGGCCTGTGTGCTGCCATCCCCGAGTGCCCCGAAAACGGCTGCGCCTCTTGGGCACTCAGCTGTTTAGTACTAAAGTTGCAGCAATAAATGTGAAAACGCAATCAGTGCGGTGTGGAGAAAGCTGGGCACGGACGCTGGGCTGGGAGGGGCTGAAGGCACGCCCGTGCCCCAGAGAAGTCGCGGTAACACGATGGAAGTGGGAGGAAGGTGGCGCTGACGAGCCCGGCTGGAGGCCGCGCAGGATTCCCTGAGAACAGTCCTGTGGCAGCTCAAATGGGGCATGGTGGGGACCCGGGAGAAGAGGGCAAGGTTGCATTTTCCCAGAGAAATTTAAGCTACACTAAAGGGAAGAGAATTGTCAAGGAAACATCTTCCAAGGGACACTGGCATGGCAAATTCCTCAATTAAATTTTACCCTTCCTTAACGGGTTCACCCAAAGCCCCCTTCCTTCCCTTCCTTCCTAGCTCCCTTTTGAGAGATTTTTATTTCCTAATGGAAAGTTTGCCGACCTGTGCTTGCCAACTCTGAAGTCCACTTACATATTCAGAGGAAGAATCGCTGCTCTAAAATACAGGCTGCATGGAGCAAGCTACACTGTATGGTTATTACGTCTGTTGCCTATTACCAAAATTCTGCACACTTTGTTTGAAAGTCAAATATCTTCCAGGAAGATAGCAGGCCTTGCAGCAGGCACAGAGGGGCCTGAGCAGGGGAAGGGCAGGGACTGCGTCTCGGATGAGGACCACAGGCAGCAGAGCTCTCCAGGCAGCGGCGGTGACAAGTGGGGCTCTGACTTCTGCATCCGGGCCATGGCACAGGGACCCAGAGGGCCACGGGCAGGTTAGGCAAGCATTGGCCACCGCCTCCAAGCTCTACCTCCCCTCTCTAACCAGCCGCCCTCTGGTGGGATTGGCGGACTCCCTGCATATAGAGGTTTGAGAACAGGGCTGGGCTTGCAGTGGGCATTGCTGTTACCTCTCTCTTACAACTCACAGAGAAGAAAATACATGTTCGTATCATGCCCAATCAGTAGATATAGTACATTGTACTAATTTAGTATGTTGCATTATTTAATATGAACTGGTGTTTAATGCATTGTATTTAATATATTGTACTTATTGTCCTAGTTTGCATGTGATGTATATTATGTGTAACGTATTATAATAATACAGACTACAAACCCAAAGCAGGCAGGAGCTCAGTAGAGTTCCCTTTTGATTATGGTGGCAATTCTAGTTACTAGCACAGGCATCCCTGATCTCTGATCATCCTACTTTTCCTAGAAGTAGACTGGCTAAGAAGTAGAACAGTAGAATATCTGTTTAAGGAGTTGGATTCACTTTTGCAAAGCAATTGCCATTTAACTGAAGGCTAAATACCATCGTCTCATGAAGGAAGTTCCAGGAGGCAGACACGGGCTGGCTCCGGAGGGGATGTGCTCAGCGTGCTGCCTGGCGGCGGGGCAGGCACGGCTCCCCAGCCCGGGCCCAAAGGCCTGCCGCTCCGGCTACTTCTCTCCAAGAAAGGCGGAACTGGCTCTGGTCCCAGGCAGGGTCACAGCTCTCAAGCTTTAAACACCTTTAACATAATACGGAGGCTTCAATGCAAACAAAAAGGGGAAACTTGACTCACATGGTGTCACGCTCTGGCGCTCACACGAGTGGGAATGATTAGCTTGTGCATGTTAATTATTTTTCCATAACCTCAAATGAAGAAGGCTCAAAACATTTGTTGCAGTCCTTTTCCAAGAATTAGGGGAATTATGAGTTCAGAAACAATTTTTTAATATTTTACAGTAAGAGTTATGATTTAATGGTTTGTTTTCTTGGATGAAATCAAGCTGGCTATAGGGCATTTGGTTTTAGAAACTTAAGAAATGAAGGGAAAAAATCCTGTTTCCAACTGCTATGCATTGGTGGGAATTTAAAAAGAAAATAACCACAAGCCATGAGCACCATGGAAGCTAAAAGGAAGAAGGAAAAGATTGAATTCTCATTTTCTATCTGCCTGAAAAACTAAACCGTCCTAGGAAGCCACTCTTGGTCTCCGCACTGGAAGACTAGCCTTTTCGATCTCTTCTTCTTGGCTTGCAGCAGTGTCCACGGCAGCACAGCTACATAAGGACTAGCTCCCGCATGCGTCTCTGGCACTGCCTAGAAGGGAGGATTTCTGCTAGTGTGCCCTGTGCGGCCCGATTTCACTGCCGCCTGCAGCACGTGTCGCATGTGCTGCTCTGCTGTGACAGTCTGCTCCAGTCTCCTCCTCTCCAGAACTTCCGTAAGTGTCGTGAAGAGCAAGGTTTGTCCCCTTCCCAAGGGGAGCAGGAGTCTGTTTTTCAAGTCGATGGTGCCTGCTCTCCCTGCAGTGGTAAAGGCCTTCCACACGCCCCTTCTCAGCACTTCATAGGTGAGTTTGAGAGAGTGCCAGTGACTTATGTCAGGAGGGGAGACGGAAATGGAGTTGGGGACCGACTGGCTGATCCTAGGTACATGTGTCCCCTTTTCTAATTTGAGGGTCTGGCTTTTGTGGCTGGTGTCAGCTGTGTGCCAGCCGCTCCACCGCACCAAACTATGCACAGAGTAACCTTCCTCACTAGGAAGTCAGACCGTGTCAGAGCCCCTGCCAAGGGGGCAGCCCCAAGCCAGACCTTAGCTTCAAAACCAGTGTATGGGGTCCAGACTAAGCTCGTGGGCATGAGACTTCTCTCCAGTGGGGACAAGTGGAACCCTCTCTCCATGGGCTGCCTAGAGGGCCGGTGGGAGAAGGACACATGGGCACCACCTCCACAGGACCTCGTCTGATGAGAGGTGCAAAATCAGACATCTCACTGGGAACCAGTACATGTGGGCCAGCTGAAGAAAAACCAAGTTACTACTTTGAGAGAATCTGTGACCAAAGAGGGGTGGATGAAGCAGAAGGAGCCCCAAAGTCCAACGGAGGCCCACACCTCTCCCCCGCCTCTCCCCTCACTCAGGCACCCCTCACCAGTGCTCTGCTAGCACCTGCGTTGTGCCAGTGCAGCCCAGCCTGAGCATCACCTGGGCCGTCATGGATGGCTTCCCTGCGCAATCCTGCTTCTCTGACAGTTTCCCCAGGAGACTCCAGGTTGTGGGTTACATATTTTAGACTTTATTTAAGAACAGTTCTGAAATTCTATAGTATGCGAAAGCCATTGTGCTGAAGAGATCTAAGTTCACATGGTTCTGTCTTGCTGGAAACAAGCCTAGTGCCAGCCGCTGAACTCGTGCACTAGATTCGCTCTGTGGACCAAAATCTCAGGTGGGTGCAAGAAGGATCCGGTGAGAAGTGGGAAGCAGCAGCTTTCTGCACGCACCTGGCTCTGCTCCTGCTCCACAGTGTTTTCCAGTGGGACTGAGCTGTGCTTGCACCAACTTGACATCGGCGCCTTCAAGGGTAGGCACTTAGCGGCCCTGTCTGCGAGGCCTCCATCCTGAGGGTCACCTGGAGGGCTGGGGATGGAGGGACCAGTTCGGAAGTGTGATGACCTAGTCGGGAAACCTCGAGAACGGCTGTGTCTTCATATTGGGCCCATCACAGGGGTACGAGACATGCCCATTCACTTCATTCCTGCCGCTGGGTCCTAAGCTGTCGTGCAGCAGACCCCGGGGAGGGTTCTTTCCTGCCCTGGACAAGGGAGCCACAAGGCTGTGGTGCGGAGTGCACAGGCTCTCACTCACGTCACGCACTGTGTTGAGTGTGCGCTGCGCACAGGGCCCGAGGCCTCCTCCGTGCTGCTCCTCCTCCTCCCGTGCTGCTCTTCCTCTTCCTCCCGTGCTGCTCCTCCTCCTCCCGTGCTGCTCCTCCTCTTCCTCCCGTGCTGCTCCTCCTCTTCCTCCCAGTGCTCCTTCTCCTCCCGTGCTGCTCCTCCTCCTCCCGTGCTGCTCCTCCTCCTCCCGTGCTGCTCCTCCTCTTCCTCCCGTGCTCCTCCTCCTCCCGTGCTGCTCCTCCTCCCGTGCTCCTCCTCCTCCCGTGCTGCTCCTCCTCCTCCCATGCTGCTCCCCCTCCTCCCGTGCTGCTCCTCCTCCCATGCTGCTCTCCCTCCTCCCGTGCTGCTCCTCCTCCTCCCGTGCTGCTCCTCCTCCTCTCAGCCTGGCCATCCTATCTTTGCAGCTGCTGCGCAGTCTTCTGTTTGTTCCTTCAGTTTTGAGCCATGGAGGCTGTGATGAAGGAAACCTTGCTTGGAATCCCAAATGAAAAATCCCTGGAACCAAACTTCTCTCCTCTGGGGTGGTTCGACTGGCACCTTGGTGACATCCACATTGTCCCTTCCATCTGAAGGAGCACCATGAAAGGTCCCTGGAGAGGAGGATCCTGTCCCAGGCAAAAGGGAGGGAAGGGACTCCCTGGGATCGCCAGACCTCACTGCAGTCAGGAGAGGCCACTATGGAAGGAAATGGCATCTGAGTGGCCAGGCTGATTCCTGGACCCACTGGGACGGCTTCCTGACACCCACATCCCCAGACAGGGACTGACAGGTAAGCGCCAGCCCGATTCGTGAAACATGAAGGCGCGGGGGCGTGAGCTCAAGCAGGAGGGGCGTGTAAGCGCTGCCGTGCAGGAATCCAGCCTTGCCTGTGCCAGGTTCACTTAGGTTCCTGCTTGACACTGTGAGGAGGCTTCTCCAATTGCTCTTTTATGCAAACATGAAAAACAAACCCTTACAAGATCCTAAGCTGAGATAGGGCATGTTTCCCCACTTGGGAAGGAGCCGTAATTCTGTAAATGACTGCACAGGCCCTGTCCTCCTCAGTCCTCAAAAGGCCACTGAAGTTTCCTCAGAAGGTGCACCCTGGGGTCCCTGGGCTTTGGAAGATAGCTCTGAGCTCCTCCCACACACAGGGAGTGTGTGAGTGGGAGTGTGTGCGTGTGTAACTTGAACCATACATAATCCTCAAGGCACACAGCTCAGAGAAATGAGGCGCCTACACGGCAGAGAATGAAAGGACGTTTATGTGAATAAAGGGCGGAAGGCGCAGGAACCCGCAGGCATCTGTGCAGCAGGCCTTGCCCCACGGGCCCGGACAGTGCCACCACGGGAGGCGCGCATTCAGGAATAACGCACATACATCTGCCTCAACAGGCTCACAAGTCAATCTGGCCGCCCCGCAATTCAACCAGCATCTGCTTTACATCCCATAAACAAGCGCTCTGGTTTTACCTTTTTGGGTTCTGGCATATTATTAATATAAATAGTGTAGATTCCACTTTTATTAAGACCAGCGTGGTACACATCTGCACAGTCTCTAAACGGCTTCTCTTCCTCTCTTTTTCCTCCCTTTAGCAAAACTGCAAAGAAAAAGGAAAGATTGCAATACATAAGTGAGAGTATGAAGCCACAGCCCGTGGCGGGCTCGCGGCACAGCTGAGCACGCCCGCCTGCCCCACGCGGTGGCCACTGTGCGTCAGACCCAGGGACCAGACTGCCTTCTACAGGGACGCAGACAACATTAAAGCTGAAGGGAAAACCGTAGAGCAGTATCGAAAAAATTACTTATATTTTACTTAATCTCTTAATTATTGTTTTTCTATGTATTATTTGCAATACATCAGCTCAACTGAGATCACATAATACCACAAATTTATGTCTGTGTTTTCTGAACATTTCTAAAGTTGTCTTACCTGTACTTCATATGGAACTTCTGTTTATTCATCTTCTAAAACACTTTGGATTGAACCTGGGCCTCACCCACACTGGGATGTTCTACCAGTGAACTACTCCGAGCCCCAGTGGCTTTTTTTTTTTTTTTTTTTTTTCCGGTACCAACGATCGAACTCAGGATCTTGCACTTTCCAGGCAGTGCTTATGCCGCTGAGCTATTTCCCCAGCCCTCCAGTGGATTATTTTAAATGCCAAAATATGTTTTTAAGAAAGTAATGTAGAAAAATTCAAACATAGAAATGTAACACAACATTTAAACACTGAAAGTAACACTGGCTTGCCATTGCTTTTAGATTCAAAAGCTCCTAGAATTTTTCCTAAAACAAAATAACAACTCTAATATAATTAGATTTGCAGAGTAGAACGGTTTACGACTCAGTTTAACTACCTAGAAAGGAAATGTAACTGCACTTTGTTCAGTGCCCTAAAGTCAAACCGGCACAGGCAATACACAAGCAAACGCATAAACGGGAGCAAGCCTTTGGAACTAAATTACAAAGGGAGAAGAGCCGCCTTCCAGCTAGGGGCCCTGGACGCGGGGAATTTTATTACAGACTGTCATTACTTGGAGCTTCATTTCTTCTGGAGTTTTATCCATTATTAAGTTCTTATTAGTAAAATAAAATACAAACTAACTCACTTAATAGTTCTTAGCTTAAGATATATGTGGCATATGTAAAAAAACATTTGTCATTTAGTAGGTTCTAGTAAGTGTGGGTGTGTGTGTGTGTGTGTGTGTGTGTGTGTGTGTGTATTATTTTGGTAATAGGTTTCATTTAACCTTTTTCTAGAAATTAAGATTGAGTATTTTGCAATTTTACATTTGAAGTTTCTGTTACTTAATAAAGTTACTTTAATTCATTATTGTCTCTCATAATAAAATATAAAAGGTAAAGTAACCCAAAATTTTTGAAACATCTAAAATACTAACCTGATGAACTTTAGTTCATGTTTTTTAATTTGTAGGGAATAAGCAGTCAAATCTTCATGGAATTACTATCATAATGTAAATAATGTGGATCTTCAAAAATACTAAATTATATTTCAAGAAGTGAAATATTTACGTTGCATATGCTGCTATAAAAACAAAACATTTAGAAAGAAACCTCCCCACTTTCTGTGTAGCTCATGGTTTTCCTACACTGACGGTTACATCAGCAGTTACCATAATTATTGTATCTAAACACACCCACCACAAGTGACCCAGCTCCACAGCATAAGCTTGGGCGAGGGCGCTAAGCTCTGTAGTGCGCAGAACACCTACCTGCACACAGCGCCGGCGCTTGGATGCCGGCAGAAAGCCCCCCGAGTGCCCCTTAACCTGTCATGTAAATGCATCCTTTTCTAAAGCATTGGAGCAGCTCACTGATGTTTGCCTATTTTACACTTTCAGACTACAATTTTCACAAACAAAATCTTCCTAATTACTAAAGACCCGATCTTTTGTTGAAAAGTAACAAGTAACCTCGCTAGATGACCAGAACAGGGAAGAGAAGAAACAGCAGGGACACACAGGGACAGGCAGGGACATGCAGGGGCCAAGGGAGATGCTGCGCTTTTTAAAAACCCTTTGTCGTTTTCGGAGAAAAGTCACGTATCTCTGGAGAAGAGCTTCCTTTGCTGAGCCTGCCCCTGCCTACATGCTAGGTGTAGTTACACGAGGCAAAGACAGCCCCCTCGCCCTCCTCCTTCCCTGTCACTTCTAGAAGGCCTGGAGGGGGCTGCATGTGGGAGGAGGAGGCCTTCACCACTCACCGATGCAGGACCAGAGGAGCAAGGAAAGCCCTGGCTCTTTCTCCTGTGGAAACTCATGTCCAAAGGGAGCACAAGTTCTGCACCTGGGAGAGGGTTTGAGGGCTCCCCTATCAAAGGGTAACACTAGAGCTGTGGTTACCTAGGAACCTGTGTGTTGCTATGGCAACACACAGGCCAGACAGCTTTCATTTCACTGAAATTCGAATTGGTATTTCTGGAAAAAACTGACCTTCTTCCCAGAAGATAAAGTCATTCTGTTTTTAGACTGTTTTTAATTATTTTTTGATTAGCAAACATTATGCCCACAGGTTTGACTCAGGCTACATTTTCAGGCATTGAGATGCTTAAGCATCAATTTATAAACTCCATGCAGGCTTACCTCGGGCACTTTTATTATACACTATGTCTTAAAGCAAGCTCCCTGGTTAAGGCGCTGGGGCTTTGTTTTGTGCTTCAGCCTGTTCAGTGGGGCAGGTGCAACTGCTCCTGAGGTAGGTAGGTACATGAAGAGTGAAGGAGGAGAGGGAAGTACAGGATGAACTTGGGAGAGGATGCGTGTTGTTGGCATGGCAACGCTGGGAACACTGCTAATGGCAGCATCCATTGAATTATCGCTCTCTCTTATGGGAGGGAGACTAAGGGGGTGCACAGAATGCTGCAGTGTGCGGCCCGCTCCGCAGGTTCTGCAGGGAAGCTGACTGGGTACACGCCGGCTGCAATGTACCCACCCAGCTCTCAGGGTCAGACCCAGGTAACCGGCCCATTCCACCCAGTGACTGTATCGGGTTACACCATGTTGCTTAAGTCTGAAATCTGTGGTTGAGCCTCACTGTGTATTTTAAGTTCGCCGTAGCACTAAGACTTAAGATCACTTAAGATGAAATATGCCACGCGAGCTGCGTGCTTTCCGCCCGAGTTTCCGCTGTTGCATATGGAAGGCTTTGAAGGCCAGTGCCATGCTTAGATATCATGAGGCTACTCAAAGTCAACATTTTAAAACACTGGAAAACAATGGCAAGAATAAGTTTCAAGGGTTGGCGCTGTGATAATGTTCAGCAGGCCTTGAGATTCAGGGTTTCAGGGGTGGTGGTAACAGACGAGAGCTCGATGCGGAAGACTGGTAGAAGGAGACACGGAAAGTCACCCCGACAGAGATGCGGCGCCGACTTCCACCGTGGGGAGACATTCTGCCAAGCTGGGCCAGAGCGCCCGGATGGAAGGGGCAGACGCAAGGCCCGAGCAAGGCTCTGACCTGCACACCTGCATCCCCGTGGCCCTGTCTTCGCATTTCCCGCGCTGCTCTCCAACACGTGATGAGAACGCCTGCCACTAACCGGGTGTCCATCTCCACCGCCCCCAGCCTCAGCCTTTCTTTCCCTTCCCGGTCTCCACTCCGGGCTCTGCACCCCACAGAGACTCGCTTACCCCAGGAGGGGCAAATCCTGACCCGCAATCACTGCAGGGCGGATTCCAAATTCTCCACTTTTTCCAATACTTAATTAACCCCCTTTCCCCCTTTCTGACCTTCCAGGCTGGCTTTGGGGCCCGGGCCGCTGGACCCCGCGCCTTCATGCCTTCGCTCCCAGTCCCAAAGCTGTCTCTGCCTCGCGTTCCGCTCCTGCCCTCTGAGCCTCGCACTGGACGCTCCGCTTCCCCAGCCCTTCTCTCCTCCTCCTCTCTGCCCCTCTTCTCCTCCCCCACCCCTTCCTTCCTCCCCTCCCCCTTTCCTCCTTCCCCTCCCCTTTTCTTCCCTCCCCCTCCTTTTACCCCCTCCTCTCCTCTGGCTTCTCCTCCACCCTCACCCCCACATGTGAGCTCCCGAGGCCCTGCGTCCATCTCCAGTCCTTCCACAGCCCCAGTGTACAGACTCTTAACAGTTTCCAGGAAACGAGCCGCCAAGTCAGTGCCTGCTCTGCGCCCCGTGTGCCTACCTGCTGGGGGGCACGATCCGGGCTTCCCCTCGCCCGTGCAGCCAGCACTACAGTGCCTGCTTTCATTCTTTCTGTGTTAGCTCATCTTCTAACCCTACCAAGCCTAGTTCTCCTCCTGGTTGTCATGTGTTAGAAAAGATGAGAGTGTAAATATGAGGCCGACTCGGGCTTTTTCACTGTCCCTCTGCTTCCGGTCCCTAATTAATTAGTTAATTAGACAATGGGAATTATACTTGTTATTGGTAGGAATGGACAGACTTCCGGAAACTAAAAGTGACTCCTAACCCGCCTCAGGCTGCCGGAGAATGACGTTGAGGGCTGACCAAAGCACGCCAGCGGACGTCGATATTAAAGGTACATGCCAGGAATCCCCTCAAAGCCCCCTCGCTGCAGACGTGCTCCCCCGCCCCACCCCCGCACTGCTTTCTGTCCGGCTCTGTCCCAGGCAGAACGAGGATTCACTGGCTCACGCCACGCAGCGCAGCCGGAGCCCGCCGAGGCGGCCAGGTTGCTGACGTGGCAGGTGCCCACTTCGCCCTCTCCTGGCTGGCTCTCCGGTTCTCCACTGGCCTGCGGACTGCGGCAAGAGCACACAGGCCTGCAGTACCTCCGGCTTCGGTTCTGCGCTGGCCAGAGGTCTGGGAGGCCTGTGCGGGGCACTGGGAACGACGGGCCACCCTCCAGCGGCCAGGGATGCGGGGCCAAAGCGCTCAGGAAGCTCGTCGAGCCCGTCCTAAGGGCCTGGCACGCGGGTACAGCCTGCGGAAAGTCCTGATGCACAGCCATCCCGTGCATGGTGCTCGCGCAGCCCTCTCCGCACAGCCAGATCTCTGTCATTTAAGGGAAAGAGGGGCAGAGGCAGGTGCGCGTCACCCATCTCTCAGCAGCCGCCTTAGTCAACAAGCACCCTGCCAGGAGCCTGCGGCTGCAGTGTTGCTGTG